CGGGGCCCGCCGGGAGGAGCACCCCTTCGTACGGGACAACTGCTTCTACCAGGGCGACGTGGTGGGGAGCCCCGGCTCCCTTGTGGCCCTCAGCACCTGCGGCAGGGGCCTCCACGGCGTGCTCTGGGTGGAGGACGATACGTACCAGATCGAGCCCGTCCCCAATGATCTGGCCTTTCGGCACATTCTCTACCGCATGGAGGGAGACAACAGCTCCGAGGGAGCCAGCTGCGGACTGACGCCGGAGGTGCTGCAGCAACAAAAGGCTGTGCTACCGTGGTTCAAAGCTCCCAAGTCAGCGGGGGAGAACGAAAAGCTGAGGGACTGGTGGACGCACATCACGTATGTGAAGATGGTAGTGGTCGTGGACCACGTGCGGTATGTAAAGTCAGGCAGGAGCAAATCCAGAGTCTTGAAGGACGTCATGCAAGTCATCAATGCTGGGGACATTTTGTGCAAACAGCTTTCTATCCGGCTGTTTGTTATAGGATTGGAGATCTGGACTGAAAAGAACTTTATAAATATTACTAACTCTATTGCCCCGGTACTTAATGCGTTTAACGCCTGGAGAAAGTCAAACCTGTTACCTCGGATGTACCATGATGTTGCTCACTTATTTGCATATCAGTGGTTTGGAAGCAGCTTGGGATTGGCATATATAGGGACAGTGTGTGATAAGCACTGGGCAGCAGCTGTTATTTCCTTCACTGATAAAAAGGTGTCTGTAATTACTATCACATTTGTCCATGAGCTGGGCCATAATCTTGGGATGGTTCATGATAAACCGGATTGTAACTGCAGACGCAAGAAATGCATTATGTATGAAAACAATGTTGACACTGACTCATTCAGTGACTGCAGTTACAAACAGTACTTTGAGCTGGTTGTAAATGGTGCTCCATGCCTTCGTCAGCCACCAGCACCTGGCAGTTTCATCACCGGGATGAGTGAATACTGTGGGAATAAAATAGTAGAAAGTGGAGAGCAATGTGACTGTGGTTCAGCAGCAAGCTGCCGAAGGGATCCTTGTTGCCGCACAAACTGTACATTTACTGCAGGTTCAGACTGTGCATCTGGAAGATGCTGCAAGAACTGTAAGGTCCTTCCAGCAGGAACACTCTGCAGAGCAAGTACTGGCAGCTGTGACCTGCCAGAGTATTGCAATGGAACTTCCCCTCAGTGCCCGCTGGATGTATACCTACAAGATGGAACTCCTTGCAATGATGGTGTTTATTGCTATCAAGGAAAATGTTCATCCCACAATGAAAAGTGCCAGCGTCTCTTTGGCAAATATGCCAAGGTTGCTCCTTTAGATTGCTTTAAAGCAGTGAACACTCAAGGTGACCGGTTTGGGAATTGTGGTATTCGTGACAATATCTATTTTGAAAAATGCAGTACTAAGAATGTCTTATGTGGTAGGATTCAGTGTGAAAACGTAGTCATAATACCTTTCTTGCAGAACCATGTAACGCTAGTCCAAACTCCTGTTCGAGGTAAAAATTGCTGGGGCCTCGACTATCATGTAGGGATACCAAGAGCAGATGTGGGAGCTGTGGAAGATGGCACACCATGTGGTAGTGATATGCTTTGTATCAACAGGACGTGTATGAGTGTATCAGTGCTGAACTACGACTGCAACATGACAAAGTGTCATGACAGAGGAGTGTGTAACAATCACAAGAACTGTCACTGTGAGTATGGCTGGGCTCCTCCATATTGTGAATTGGAAGGATATGGAGGTAGTGTTGACAGTGGACCCCCTCCACCTAAGAAGGCTGAGAGACTAAAAGTAAGACTAGTGCTACTTGGGTTTTATTCTGTGTGTTTTGTTGGAATAGTCCTTTCCATCCGTTATAGACAGAAAATAGAGGGATGGCTTGCGAAGAAAAAAGCCCAATTCCATAGAAAATTGTTTCAAAGACCGAAAAAAAAAGAAGTTCCTAAAGAAAAGTCGCCTGCTGGTGAGTTAAAATCCACCAAAGATAAAAAGGCAGCACCTTGGGATGTTATTGAGGAACTATCAGATTGAGGAACTATTGAGTGATGTGATAACTCATCAAAATAATTCAGCAGGTTCTGAACAGCTCTAATCTCATGTGATATCATTAAATGCAGAGTAAACCTTACCTCTGTACATTTTCTTTTAAGTTAATAAATGCAGGCAGTAAGGCATACTGTTCTTTGTACCCTGAGCTCTTAAACTGATGTAGTTAAGTAAACTGCAGGTATTGTGTTTATACTTCATATCAACAGTATAAAAATGCAAACTTCTTAAAACAGGTGTAGATAGATGACTTATGTGGTAGGATTCAGTGTGAAAACATAGTCAAAATACCTTTCTTGCAGAACCATGTAACGCTAGTCCAAACTCCTGTTCGAGATAAAAATTGTTGGGGTTTCAACTATCACGTAGGGATGCCAAGAGCAGATATCGAACTCCTTGTTACTCTACTTACTTCAATGTCTTCCTTCACCTCATGTTTTCTATGTTTTCTTCAATTCAGTGAGAGAGATGTTTATGAACCTCTTTTGTCATTCGTTAACACCCAAAGAGAAAAAATTGCACTTCCAGTCTCCACTGGTTCTGTGTCTCTATTTAATTCACATCTGTGACACACAAACAGGTAAGGAGCAGGTATTGCAGTGAGATACAGCTGTCTGTTTCACAAGTGCTTACAGCTGTTTACAGGGAGCAGCCCTTCAGGAGGAAGGTAGATCATAGGGAACAGGGTCTTCCTTTTGTGGAAGAGTAGAGAAGGATTATCCAAATAACAACCAGTAAGCATTGCATTTCTCAACTGTAAAATATATGTCAACAGTGTAGTGACACCAAATCTGGCATTTCACTAGAACAAATTGTTTTTATTTCCTGGAAATTTTCCAGTGTCTTGACTGCTGACTGCTTCTGAGAAGTGCTGTGTATTTTATTGTCTCTAAGAGGAGCTGTCTGTGGGGCTCCCCAAGTTAACTGAATTTCTAAAGTATTTGGAATTATTCTGCAAGTGTCCCCTACCTAGAATACCTGCAATATTTGGTAGATACTTTATCTGACTATCTCAGAGGGTTTCTTTTGGCTTATTCTGTGATTCTTTCTTCAGCTATAACAGAATGTGTCGTTGCAGCTCTATGGAGTGCTACACAGAAGCACTGTCATTTTAATTTTTTTAACACAAGATAAAATATATCTAACTTCTGAAAAATATTAGGTACATGGAAATACCATTCAGTAAGTTTTATTGCTATTATTTCTATTACAGTAGTAACTAGACCGTTCTATCAGATCAGCATGGAGAGGAGTCTGTTGTCCAGATCACAGTTAAAACTTTTTTTTAAAGGTGTTTCAGGATAAAGGGCTATAATACACATCTGCTAAAAAAAGAATTATTTGTATTTAGAAAATAAAGAGCACACTTTTAGCAAACATTCTGTAAAGGCAGGATAAGTACCCCAACACTTGGGAACACTTGGGAAGAAAGATATTGGTGACTCTACAAATTATTATGGTCAACTATTGCTGCGTCCCAAATATATATGTTTTTTAGAATATGCGTTTATCTGTAATTTTTTTTGTGTATTTCTTTGGTGTCCTGTATTCAAAAAGGGCCAATTACATTATGATGGGATGTGAAATACAAAGAATGTGATTCACAGTTTTTCCCAGCTTTTTGTGTAGAGCAAATGGGTACTTATATATTTATCTATGTTGTCTGCAGAAATGAGGTAACACATTGTTTGTTTAGGTTGTGCTTATTGTCATGATAGAACATGAATGGTTTTGATTAGATGATGAAAACTTGATCTTGCATTTATGTCAAAAGGCAAGATAACTGCCCTTGATGAACACCACATCTATTCCTCATGACCAGAGACCTCCTTTGGGGGTTGGGGGAGTGGGAGGGGTGTCCTCTGAGAAATAACAGTTGTAATTCAGGTGTTGCAAACAAGGGATAGAAGATGGAGAAGAGAGATGTGAATTAATTGAAAGATGGAGAGAAAAAGTAACAAAAGCACTACACCCAGCACCTTCCAACTACCTGTGCACATCTAGTACCTACTAAAACTTTTTTTATTTTGCTTTTTAAATACAAAAAGAGTGGCAGAAGTTTCAGGTTGCTACTTTGATGGCTTGCTGTTGTTGATCAATAGTATACTATAAATTGCCAAGTACAGATCTATGCTGAGACAGAGAAACACTGGAGTCAGGGAGTTCTTGTTTACAGAGCTGCACACTGAAGAGACAGAGGTGTAAATGAAAGCACAATTTAGCCCAGAAAGCTTACTTACAAGTGCAGTTTTGGGAAAGATAAAGTAACAAAATGCTGTAGTTTCTGTTTTTCTCTATGCTTAAAGATTGTTCTGGAAAACCAGGACTTAATTGGGAGGAGGCTTTCAGTGAACTTTGGATAAGAGTATTTCTGTATACTTTTCTTGCATTTCTTCTTGGGCCATATGAGCAAGACAAACATGTATCTCAACAAATCCAGTTTATGTTTCATAAAATGTGTAAGCTCCCTTTCTGAGATTTTTCTTCTTGAAAATATTATTGTTTCTGATTTCAACACAGGAATGAAAAACTTGATGTTCCTGGTGGTTTGTTAGAAATGTCCCACTACTCTGAAGGTGCTGTGAAGGTGCAGGTCTAAGTTCAGTCCTAATCTTTCTCGTTTCTTCTTTTTCCCCCTCCTTGTTCTAACTGCATTTTAAAATGCTTTAAATGGATATGAGAACTAGGTTAATATATAAGTCACTTGTACATGAAGAGGCAATTTGCAAATGTTGCTGCACTGTCTCCCAAGAAATGCGGGTCACTGCAGTTCATGAAATGGTGCTGGAGGAAATAAGACACAACCTGGACTTGTGGAACCCCACTGCAGGGGGGTTGGAACTACATGATCTTATATGTCCCTTCCAAACCAAGGCATTCTCTGATTCTGTGAAATGGTCTTGCCAGTGCAGTAAGGATAGTAAGGCTTAGGTAGCTGTTAATATGTGGCAGGCCAGTGATAGATGACGCCTGGAGCTGCCTAGGACTAAGTTACAATATAGCCATGTTTCCTGTTTGAAATGTCTTCCTGGCTAAAGAAAACTTTTAAAAACACTTAATATTGCAGTCATCTCAGATCACGATAAAATTGTTTTTGTTCTAAGCCAAGGCTGTCATCTCTAAAATACATTAAATTGCTGCTAAGGAACACTGTATCTTGAAGGAGTTTGCCAAGTACCTTGCAGCTGCTTGCTCACTCTCCTCCCACCCCTCTCAGTGGGAAGGGGATTAAGAAAAAGAAAAGGTAAACCTTGTGGGTTGAAATAAAAACAGCTTAATAATTGAAACAACTAAATATCATTATTATTATTATTATTATTATTATTATTATTATTATTATTATTAATAATAATAATAATAATAATAATAATAATAATAATAATAATAATAATAATAATAATAATAATAATAATGAGAGTTGAGAGTAACAGAACTCAAACAGAAACAAGTGAAGCACAGTAAAATTGCTCACCACATGCTGGCTGATACCTAGCCTATCCCAGAATGTGTTGGGCCCCCTTACAAGTAACTTCTCCAGCTTATAAACAGGACATTCTGTGATATGAAATATCCCTTTGTCCACCTGTCCTGGCCATGCTCCCTCACAGCTTTTGTGCACCTCCTCACTGGCAGAGTATGAGACACTGGGAAGTTCTCAGGGTGAATGCTACTTAGCAACAACGAAAAAATCTATCACACGAGTCACGGTTTTGCTCATCATTGCAAGTGTAATTGGACCTTGAATGCCTGTCTCCCACCTCTGAGGTGTTCTAACACTCGGTTTAGCACTAAGAATTAATGTTGTAGCAGTCAGAGATCCAGTGCCCAGGTTGTCTCTCCCTGTTAAATTCAGGAATCCCAAAGTGCAGATAATCTTGGAACGAATGCAATCAAAAACATCTGTTATTTTGACTGCAATACCAAACAAATAAAATGGTAGTGTAACATTGAGGACCAGATAAGCTGGTCCTCATTTTCATCAGAGAGGTTCCTGCAGCATGTAGATGTGGCTGTCCTCATAGTGCCAAGCAGTCAGGTGGTTCAACTGACATTGTTCCCTGTTGTCATTGTCTGTGTTGATACACTTAGATTGTGCTGAAATAGATAAGGATAAATTTTTCCTTGCCATTTCCTGATAATCTATTGGTTCAATAAACCCTGAGTTGCAGAGTGCCAGGTTCAAGTGGCTCCTCTGTTACACAGCAAGTTGAACTGCTCTGCCCTTTATTGCTAGGTAACTATCTAGAGTTCTGTAGAGTTCTGAGGAAATTTCTCAAATCTTCAAACCAAATGCCTTCTACAGGATCTAGTTAAGTATTTCTTGCCCCAGCGGTAGCACGGTGTTCCTATGCATCGTTTGTGTTTCTGAATCTAGATCACTTTATTGCACCACAGGGTAACTTGGCGTTGGCATGGATGCTCTCTGTGCTGCTTGCGTGTATTGGGCTTTTGTTCTTGCCCATGTTATGAATAAGAAGCTTGACTAGGCCAATATTCAAGCAGCAATTTATTATTTAATATGGTAAAGTATGAGCAATACAGCACTGGGTACAGTGGGGGAAGTTTTCCCTCCAACTGCACACTGATGATTGATGGTTACAGGTATTTATAGGGGTACTCATCAGTTTTTTTCAGCAGTTTCTATTTCCAATCTTTTACTCATCAGCAATTTTTATTCCAAATTATTACATCACAATTCTATACACTATTGTGATTTTAATTTCTCAGGATGTATCTCAAAGGAGTATCCCCAGATGGTGACGGTCCAGTTTCCAAAAGAAGAAAGACGACTCCCATCTGGTGGGGTCCAGCTCCCCAGGTGTGTGTCCACCTTTTAATTGCAGAGACTCTAAATCTCATAACAGTGATGTCCAGCTTCCCTTTGGTTGAAACCATAAACCCTTGAGGTGATGTTCATCTTCCTTTCTCAAGCTGTTTTTCTGTGCTTCCATAAGGTGTGAGATAAGCATATTTCCTTTATATATATTCTAAAGCTATAGTTTCAAGGATACAAGTAATATTCTAAAATTATACTTCAAAAGGTTATTATTGCAGAGCTTTTTATGGATTAAATGCAAGCAAAAAGCAACATCTTTAACACCTTAATTCCAATGCTCCTAAATCAACTAGGGTTAATTGCAAACAAAAGATAGGTTCAAAGGCCTTTTTCCATGCTTTATTTTCCTCAGTTATTATTAGAATTCACAGCTCTCCCATTGGCGGCGTCCACACATTTCGCATTCACAAATACACACGTCGCCTGTTTGTACTTGACACGAAACACAGCTTTGCATCTCACACGCAGCACAGTCTGGTCTGTTTTTCAGTTTGCTGTGAGGACAGTCAAAAGGCCCGGGAACAGGTCATTTATCCCCCGTTCTTCTCTCCTACGCCTACCCCAGACAACTATGGCTCCTTAACCTTCCTAAGGAAACCAGCTCCAGCCTGGGGAGCAGGGTAGGGCCAGGCAGAGATGCCGCGCAGGGACCTGGGAAGGTGCGGGGGCAGGAGGACGCCGTGCTGGGCTCCCCTGGGCCCGCTGCCTTTCCGCCTCTGCGGTGAGCGCCGGTGGCGGCCCCAAGCGCCGGGGGGGAGCAGCCCCGTCCCGCAGGGACTACAATTCCCAGCGCTCCGCGGCGCGGCCCGGCGGCGGCCCAGGAGGTGAGAGCGGCTGCCCCGGGAGTTCTCCTTCAGGCCGCAGCATGAACGGCAGCGTGGCGGGCGGCGGCTACGCCGAGGAGATTATCAGCCTCACCCGCAGACCCTCAGGTAAGGCAGGGGCGGCCTCTCCACGCTGGGTCCGCGGCCTCTCCCGGGCCAGGGCAGCCGCGCCGAGGCCTGCGGAGCCACCGCCGAGGCCGGAGCGGAAGCCCGGGGTGGCGGCGGCCGGCGGGACGGCCGTGGCGGGCACCGGAGCGGCGGAGGGAGGGTCCCGGCCGCGAGGATAGAAGCGCAGCGCCCAGAGGTGCCGGGCCCAGGGGACTCCCCTGGAAACAGCCGTGGCGGATACGCTGCTGCGGGAAAAACTCGTGCCGTGCGTGAGGGAGAGCTGGCCGGGTCAGAGTCCTCTGCGGGAGCTCCGGTGGAGGCTGGTGTCCCTGCGGACAGCTCGCCTCCGGTTTCCCCTGGAAGTTGCCATCTGCGGTGGAGCTGTTGCTTCCAAGTGAGGCGGTAGCCGCTAAGCGCCCAGCCGCGTTAGATACCCTGAGTGAGTCAGGGGCCATTTGGAAATCATGTGCCCAAGTGGCCGTCCCCTGTGTTGTCAGCTTGGCGTTCATGGTGCAGCGTACCTTGGGATGCTTTGGGGTGTTTAGAGAGAGGAGCATAGGCTGGAAGGAAAAAGGAATAGGGCACTTCGTGGGGCGGTTTTTGGCTTTGCTTTTCATGTCTCAACAGCAGGTGCGCTCATGGAAACCGTACATTTTTATAGGATTTATGGTGCCATTCACATGAACTCACTTTCAGAAGTGAGGCAAGTAAGCACGAAATGTACAGCTCTGGAGCAAAATCCTGGCTATAGAGAATGGCAGGCTCCAGGAAGGCTTTTGGAGCTGGAGTTGTACTTTGGTGTCTGAGGCCTTCTCTTTCATTTAAATGAGTAGGAACGAAAACGTGGCAGCCCTACTGTTCTGCACAACTGCTGGGTGCAGCTGCTGGCCAGCCTTGGCTCCAGGTGCTCCCCAGAGACCCCAGCAGCCACGTTGTTGGTGGGTGTCTTTCCTTTCTCTGGGGTGGAGGTAGGTCCTGTGCTGGGACTGGGCTGGCGTTGGTGCTGGCCCTCATGCTGGTGATCAGAATCTAGAGGGTGTGAGCAGCCCTTTGCCTCCCCTGCTTGCCAGATCGTCCTCTGGTCTGAGAGATGTGTAGCCCTACCTGCATAGCCATGAGCTTCAACTAATGAAGCTGCGCTTGTTAGGGAAAACTGTGCCAAATGAAGCTGGTTCTGATGGGAATGCGGTTTCCATGTTTCCATACATCTGGGGAGCTAAAATTTTAAGGAAGGTGTAATGGAATGTTAAAGGGCAGAGTTGAGAATGGTCTTGAGTATGACCACTGTGATTTCAGTCTTAATTACCGTGAGCAGCATTTGTCCAGTCATTGAGATGGGCTGTGCATCTTTAGATTTAGGTTTCTAACTGTGTTATATGATTTGAAGGTCCTACATCCCCTTCCAGCCTTGATGCACTTGCCATGTGAATTATTACTCATTTCTGTGGAAGGAACAAAACACTTACCTGTGAAGTACAATTGGGTCCTGTAATCTCTTGAATTGGAGTTTTGACTGCAACTTTTAAAATAGGTCTGATGCTAAACATGTCTGGCAAAAAGTTTGCATTGGTTGTGAATGTATTTCCAGTGGCAGGACAGCGTATATTTGTCTTTTTCAAATTTTCTTGTATTCAGTCTCTCATTTCCTAATCCTGCCAGTCCTGTTTTTTTTTTTTTTTTAAGGGACTTCATTTTTGAGGGACTTTTTTAGTTTAGAGAGGGTAAGTGAGGTATAGGGAGGTCTGCAGCCTCAGGGAGGGTCAGTAGTTTAGCCCAGAGCCTTCTTTTAAAGCTCTGCCATTCTGCTTCTCATCCTTTATAGACAAGAGATTTAGTGCTATGTGCTCTCTGTCCTTGCTCCTTTTCTTCCAGCTGTGCTCTGTCTCTTTCTGTGGCTGCATGAACTGGAAGGAAGAGAATAGCAAAGCGCTTGAGGATTGATAGGGAAGATATTTTTAGGCAGAGTGCAAGTCTGAGTGCTGGAAAGGAAAGACACAGTGAAAAAGCCCTGTGAATACTTAACTTGGTCTAGCACAAACTGCTGCCTCTTTGTCATGAAGATCTCCCTCTGCTGATGAAAGCTGTGAATCTTGGTTATTTTTTCAATCGTGGGTAAAAAGTTGCAAAATGTATACTTTTTTCGTATACATATATATATATATATATATATGTATATACGTATTTTAGAGGTTTTATATATGAGAGAAAATCAATGTGTTCTGAGATCCTGATTCCTTCTTTCTGGCTTTTAAATAAATGTTGATTAAACATTATACTTTCTGTAGTATTGATTTTCCCCTTTCCTAAGTTAATGGCTTTATGGCAAATAATTTTTAGGAGTGTGGATTTAAATTTTTTTTTCTTTTCATTTTCTATTGAAAGGTGTATTACTGTGCACAACTGGCCATTCTTGGAATAGATATTGTTCTAATTGAAATGTCAGTATTTCTCAATTTTCTCTCACTTTCATTTTTCCCTCACTTGTCTGAAGCTGCCAGGAAGGGAAGACAAAAAAAAGGTGTGGCAAAATTGCTGCTAATATTTCTTTACTTCCCAGCTGTAGATGCACACTTAATATACCATGACTCATTTTGTAAATGCTTTGATCTCCTGTGACTAATTTAAAATGCTGCTTCCCAGCAGGCATAAGGTGGTTTTACTTTCATTTGAAACTGCTTCCCAAGGTTTCCAGTTCCAAATTCAAGAGAAAATAAGAAAGAAAACAAAAACAAATAAATCAATCTGGCTGAACGTGGGCAGAACTTGCCCTCAGCTGTTCTTGACAATAGCTTTTAGATGACTGGTTCATGTCAAAAAAAAAAGTTGTTTTTTTTTTCCATTTACTTTGATTGCGTATTTGATTTTTGTTTTCTTTTTCCTTGGCTTTTCTCTCTTTTTTCATTGCAAGCCTCTTCGGGAGTCTTTCTTGTCCCTTTTTAGAGAGGAACTTAGCTGCATGTACAGTGGGGAATCTCATAATCTTTGAGTTTCCAGATTTTAAATTCAGTTTGTTCTTTTGAGTTTTAATGAAACAAGAAGTCTTAACTTTAATCCAGAAGCTGGATCCAGCTAGATATCTGTAACTGAGGCTTCCTTTAAAGAATTATACAAAATGGCAAAAATACATAGTGGACATCAGGTTTAATAAATGTATGTGTATTCCTGTTTGGTTTGCATTAAATCTGCAAACTTTGTCTTTATTTCCTATCATGTTTGAATTCATGAAACAGAGCAAAGTGATTTTGTACAATTTGAAGTAGCTTCATGGAGCCTAACCTTCTTCTTGGAGGCAAAGCACACCACTTCCAGCCCCTGGGATGTGGAGGGGGAGTCTTCTGAGCTCTAGGAGCCCTCAAGCTGGGAGCACAGTCCTCCTTGCCTGTTTCCTTATCTGTAGACAGATTCTAATGCTCCTTGCCTTTCCTTACCCTGTTTTCCAGCTCACAAAGTGCTTGTCAGAGATGATTTCTTGTAGCTCAAAGGTAGTGATTTACTGTAATCTCATGTGAAATGCAGAATACTTTCATTTTCTTTCATGTTGTGCTGAAGAAGTTTATTCCTGCTGAGGGCTGAGTCAGCATCTCAGAAATGATGGCAGGCCCCTCACTATTCCCCAGCACCCACCTGAAGCAGTTCACAGGTGTTTTGTGTAATGAAGTATTACACAAATGGGGTCCTCAGGCATTTAGTGTCTCTCCTCTGCTTTCAAGACCAGTTTTATGAGAATAACTTTTCTAGACAATGGAAAGGTAGTTGGAAAGGATAATGCAGATTTGTGTGCCATGAGTTTTTGTATGGTGGAGAAAGCAAGACAGTGTGGGAGGTGCAGTCCCCAACAAGCAAAACAGCAAGAACATTGGAAGCTTTGAGCTTTTTCTCATCAGCTTTCTTTTTGGCTTGCCTTAGGGTTAGGCTTCAACATTGTTGGTGGGACAGATCAGCAGTACATTGCCAATGACAACAGCATCTATGTCAGCTGGATCAAAAAGGATGGGGCAGCTTACCTTGATGGCCGATTACAAGAAGGAGATAAAATTTTAGCGGTAAGCCCTTTCTTCTGTTGTCCCCTGTGCTCTTGATCAGTGATGGGATGTGAGAGGCAGGTTTTCCTTCACAGTGCATAGAGAGGAGGGATGTGGTGAATGACTTAGATGATCCCAAGCAAACTCCATGCAGGAGTCACCTTGGGGGTCTGGAGAGAGCTCTGAGCACGAGGAATAAGTGCCTCTACACATGGGCTTATCTCCTCTGCCTTCTTGATTTGCCACAGAAGTGCTCTGTAGTGCTGTGCTTGTGTTTCCTCTGTGACTTGCCTCCCTAAGGTTTTAGAACCCATCAAGTGTTCTCTTGCTCACAATGGATTATCGTTTACACACATGTAAATAAAGGTTTTCCACCTCTTAAATTTCTGGTTTCTGACTGCTAATCCATGATTTCTAATCCTTTTACACAGGGGGTTTTTAGATGATAAAATTTCTAGGCCATAATATTCTTCTCTCCATTTCACCTCCTCAAGAACAGCATGGGCTGCTTCTCCTTTTAGAAAATTGCTTTCAAATTTCTGATTTTCACACCCATTGATTCTTCAGATAGCTGGCAATCATGCAAGAAAGCTTTACAAAGTGATGGGTGAAGAAGTAGCCTCTCCTAGTATGATACACAACCTTTTTGAACTCCCTAATTTTATTTTACACTTGCTTATTTTGTTCCTCATGTGATCTTTTTAGCTTCAATAGACTACCTTGCACTAATTGGAGCCTATTATTGATCCAGAAAGTGATATTAAGTTAAACAGAGAATATTCTCTTTTTCCCAACAGTTTAATATTTATGTACTTGTGTTTGGGATGTCTAAATATGAAGAGAAGGGAGGCACTGGATGTGATCAGTGGGGATACAGTTAGGGAAATGGGGGCGAAAATGAAAAAGTAGGATGAATTCACTCAGTGAATGAAATCAATTTAAAACCCTGTGCCATGATATATTCATTTAAATTAAGAAAAATCCCAACACTTACAAGTGGATCAAGTGGATGCCAAGAAGTATGTATGTAAATTTTTTTTGTTGGTTTTGCTACATCAGTGTGCTTATAAAAGTGTGTTTACAACACTCTCTCAAACAGAGGGATTTCAAAGGTACGCCAGTAGATGAAACAAGGTAAGAGACTTAAAATAATAATTTTCCTGCTCTTTTATGTTCATTAGCTATCAAAATCACACCTTTGATTTGTTTCCAGCAAAGCAACAGCATCAGAAGCTGTTATTGACACAACTGTGGTCTTTTATTCTTATTTTGCCTCTAGGTAGTTTTTTTCAGTACCTGTATGTTTTCACTTGGAGTTTCTCATGTTTTGCCTCAGCATAGAAAAATACATCATAATATTAATTAATTAGGATCTTTATGACTATAGTATTATGCCCCAAATGCAGAATTTTGTGAAATATGAAGATTTTTTGTCTTATCCTTCATACGTTAGCCTGCATCATAAAAAATTTGCTTGCTTTACCTTCAGCATCTGACTCTCCTTTTCCTTTTTTGCTAGATCAATGGCAAAGACTTGAAGGATTTGCGGCACAAGGATGCTGTGGAACTGTTCAGGAATGCAGGCTATTACGTGTCTCTGAAAATTCAGCGCAGGGTATGTTTTACCTCTTCCTTAGGGTTATTTCTGGCTCAGTTTAGACTGGTTTCTGTGATTGGTGGCTGTTTCATGAGGAAGAAGAGTACTGTGTTCAGGTGCTCAGTGTGATATGTGCATATAAAAATTTTGTTTGACCTATGACCTTCTCTCATTGCCTCAGCTGTAATTATCTCTGTATAGCTTTGTAGCCACTGTAACCTTTGTAACAGTGAAAAGGTGAGTTTGGAGATGTCCCCAGGTCTTTGTTTTGCTGGAGTGTGTTGTGTTTGCTCACTGTTCTCCTTTCTCAGAGGTAAAGCTTTGTGTGTGAGGACAGAATCTCAAGTGGGCCAGTTTTATTTCAGTGGCCACAATCTTACTGGAGACAGAACTCCTTTTGTTTCAGAGGCCATCACTCAAGATAGTGTTGAACTATGTGTACAGCCCAGCGCCACAAGACAGACATTGAGGTGCTGGAGCATGTCCAGACAAGGGTGATAAAGCAGGTGAAGGGTCTGGAGCACAAGTCTGGTGAGGAGCAGCTGAGGAAGCTGGAGGTGTTTAGCCTGGTGTTTAGCTCAGGAAGACCCTATTGCTCTCCACAACTGCCTGGAAGGAGGCTCTGTCCAGGTGGGGGATTGGTCTCTTCTCCCAGGCAGCAAGCACAGGATGGAGACATCCTCAAGTTGCATCAGCTCAAGTTTAGATTGTGTATTAGGAATTTCTTCACTGAAAAAAGGTTGTCAAGCAGTGGAACAGGCTGCTGTAGGAAGTGGTTGAGTCACCATCCCTGAAGGCATTTAAAAAATGTGCAGATGTGGTGCTTAGTTAAATGGTAAACTTGGCAGTGCTGGATTAATGGTTGGACTTAAAGGTCTTTCCAACATAAATGATTTTACAATACTAGGAAGTATGGACTGCTATACTTCAAATATACTGGCACCATTTTAGATGTAAAAAGAGAGAAACCCTTAATCCCCAGATAGTATGGAAGTTGACAAAAGAAATACTGATCTACCCAAAGCATGCTGGGGAGAGTGGCTTGAGATCCCTTTTCTACTCCCTTAACAAAGGAGTATGTCTGCTGGACCAGTGTATAAGACAGGTAAGAAAACCAGAGAGAATTATTGATGTCTTTTTCCTGGTAAAGAGAGCAGAAAATGGTGTGGTGGTAAGTGCATCAAGGTGTGACTGGGTATGTGTGTGTCATTTTTCTGCTGTAATGAAAGCAGAAAAATGAGGTGTATCCTGTTCCACTTGAGTCCAAGTTTAGAAAGTGGCAAAGAAACATGAGTCTGCCTGGTAGTGTCTGGATATCCTGCATTTCAGTTCAGTCCATCCTAAGCTGCTTTAACCCTCCATGTGTGGAATCTGCAGGTACCTGGGGAAACTGTTTTGACCATTCTTACAGAACCACCTGGTCCAGACACAGAACTTGGGGCTCTCTTGTTACGGGTTCTGACATAAATAATTTTTTTTTCCTTGTAGTTGCAGCCACAGAATGGCCCTGTGGGTCATGGAGGAGATGGAGAATCAGGTGGGCTTCCTCTGGCAGCCATTCTTGTGCCAGGCCTGGCGCTTGCTGCGACAGCAGTCTGGATCTTGCTGAGGTATCGACAGCGGATGTGAAGAGTTCACGGCTGGGATATCACTGCGTATTTTACACAGCTATGATGCAATTTAAAGATAGAGAATCAACAATCTTGTCACAGACTGATGCCAAAAAGGATCATTGCCTATCATCAAAGTTGCTGCTGATGTTCGTATATATTGATTTTGTTGCAGGGTGGATAGAAGCAGAGAGAAAAAAAGGAAGGGAGAGGACTGTGTTTATCTAAAGAGTGGATTAGCTGTATTTTTTGACAAATTGAGGAGGTTTTGCCATCCTCTTCTATTTTGCACCATGAACTTTCAAACACACTCATCTATTCCACATTTTAAGGTTTAACTTTTGGTTAAAGGGAGTGGGAGTGATTTTAAATCGAAAGCATTTTCTAGAGGCTTTGCCTTGTTTCCACAGAATTTTTTCTTGAATCTAATGAATTCTGTCCAAACCATGAATAAAGAGAAGCAATGCAAAGGGTATATTATTTTTCCTATTGAAGATTTGTCGGTTGTTGCTAAATAAATGCCTTAAAATTGTAAAATCTGATCTGTGGTTTCACAGGTAAAATCTTCGGTGTAGCTACTGATTTAATAGCAATATGCAGTATTGGTGAGACATTTTGCCAGTTGTGGAAAGATAGAAGATAGCTTGCTGCTAGAAGAAGATTGTGATTGTCAAAATGATAGCTCATTTTTGGGTCAGAATTGTAAGAGAAAGCTTTCCACAAAATGCTAGCATACTGGAGAGAGACAGACAACTGAATCACAAGGATAAGTGGTGGCAAGAGATTCAGGCATGCTGAAGCTGTAGAAGAGCCTTTAAATTCATAGTGAAGCAATAGTTCCTCCATTCATCAGGTGGGTTGAAGTCTACATCTCTGAGGTTAGAGGTCTGGGGGTTGTTTTTTGCACAGGGAATACTTCAGATAAAATTTTCGGTAGCAGCTAACTTGCTCTCTGCAGTAAGGAGACTCTTATGATGATTGAAAGGGAGAAGCTGAGAGCAAGCTGGGGTTGTCCTGGCTTTTACTTGTTTGTGAAGAGTTATGTGATGTTCAAGAGATGGACAGCCAGCTTTAAGCCGGGGTAAAGCCTAGCAGGTAAAACCAGAGGGAAGAGACCCTCCTCTGGAAAGTATATGACTGAATTTACCTCCAGGGTCTCATCTCCTCACTGTGATTTGAATAGATTTAAATGCCCTAGCTTGATAGGAGCTCTGTGGGTAAGACCTGTTTCTCTTGTCTCCAAGAAATCAATGTGTTTTGTTGTTTTTTAAAAGAAAAGTGAAATGCATGATCTGGTCTGTATGATGCCAAAGAAGAGATCACAGATGCAATATATGTTTTCAAAGAAAAACTGGTGTCTTGGTGCTTTACTTATCTCTGTTCTCATAGGACATTGCTGATGTATTTGAAATTGTTGTGTTTGCTCAGGGCTGTGTTCCTGAGCGAACTGCTGGAGATAAAAGTGGCTATGCTGTTGAACATGGCATTCCTAAATCACCTTGGAGCTTCAGAGCACTTGGATCACATGAAATCTTGCTTTGGCCTATAGACTGCTCTAGTGTAAGGGGAAGCGCAAACAGGAAGAATTTTGCTCCATGTTCTTAGGGGACTTTGGGAACAGTATTGATGTTGACTGGCCTGGGCTAAGGCATGCAGTGACTTGCCTTGGCCTGCAAACCAGTTGTGCCTGATAGCAGGAGGGCTGCTGTGTAGACAGATCTTTGCAGCTACAGCATGAACCAGCTTGTTTGTGACCTGCTCTGAATATTTGGCTGTGGTGTCCATGTGCAGCACATGTGTGTGTTAAGTTGGGAGATTAGAAATTGATGCTGTTTTATCACAGCCTTCAGAATAAACAGGCAGACATTAAGAAAATGGCCTGTCTTGTTAGCTTTTCCCCGAGTTGGGTTTCTGTGATGAGAAGTAGTATGTGGATGAGGGTAGGAGGATGAGAACTTATGGACAGTAATGGTTAGTTTTAGTCATTTCCCATTGAAGTAAGAGAAAGAAAAAGCTTTGGGGTTTTTTTTGTTTGTTTGCTTGTTTAACCTTTCAGCTTTGTGACTTTGATACTGTTCAGACATGACTGCCATCTATATTGCAAGCAGTTTATGAGGGAGAGAAGGGATTATAGTCAATGCTCAAATAATTGATATGGCATATTAAAAAAGAGAAGGCCCTTCTGGTGCATAGTGTTCACAATTATTGAACTGCCACTCAGTAGCTTTTTCAGAAGTCTGGGTAGTAGTTTTTACTCAGGATTTAAACCATCCAGTCTAAAAGTGAGTAACACTTTTGTGGACCTGCCTGGTACCAAACAATCCCTTTTCCAATCCCCATCCACCTCTTGTCCCATTTATTGACAAAACCCAAGTGGAAAATACCTTGGCCACAAACTCTCCTATGAACTGTGGCTTATACTACTTTCAGCAGCTGAACTGTCTCACCTAACCTTTCCATGATTTTCCAAAGTATTTTCCACCATGTGGTTTCTAAAGCCTTGAGTTTCATCTTTGTGCTAGATACTGTATATACATTTTCTATCATTGTAGAAGAAGTAAATTTTAAAAAATCTAGTGAAGACAGCTTGTAAATACAAGTGATCAAAGAGAGTTTTACCTTTTGTTACAACTTAAATCTCTGGGGTTTTTTCAAAAGATAAGTTGAAATCCTGAAGACAAACAGAAAGCATCCTAACTGTATTTTATGTTTGTTTTGTTTAAGAACACATTTGCCATTAATACTGAGGGCAGCTGAAACTCTTAAATACCCATGTTTCTCTCCCATTCTCATTTGTTCCCTCAAATGTATTGTGAATGTGCTGATCTGCTGAAAAATGGATCTTCAGGTCTATAATTTAAGGACAAATCTATCTAGTTTGACTTAATGTATATTCTAAGCATTTGTGTTTCAGTCTTCAGAATTGTATGTGCTAATAATATATATTTGGCTAGAGCATAACAGTGAGAGAGAGCAGCTAAACTTGATCTGAAGATTGGTAGATGCACTACTTCTGGCAGTTTTTAATTAACACAAACTAGAAAGGAGTGTGTGGGAGGGAGAAGTGTCTTGCTTTCAGTTTGCCTTTAGGTTTCAACAACTGGTTTGTTTGGTTATTCAGTGCTAGATTAAAGAGGCCTCTAATAACTGATAGTCCCTCCCTTTGAGAGGATTTGTGTGTTATAATTGCCTTACCTCTCACATTATTTTTAAGAGATGAAGCCAACAGAGCCCTTTCAGATTCTCTGTGTAGGGTACTTTCTCTCTTTTAGTAGTTTCTGTGGTTCTTTGTACCCTTTCCAGTTTCTTTATTGCTTTGTAAAATCCAGACACCCCAACCACATGAGACTCCCACTGTTGACCATGCCAATGCCCCATACAAGGAGTTTTTAATACTATCTTTGTCTGCAAACTTAATTTTTTTTTTTGTTAAGTTATGGATAAGTACAAAGCATATTCAGGCCAACTCCCAAGAGCTTGCTTTTTCTTAACTAGACTGTAGAAGTCTCTTAGGAGTGGCATACAGCTTTCCCCTTCTTCATCTGCTGTCTCAAGTGTCCTAAGGAATCTGTAGAAAAACACTATTGCCCCATGAGGGGTAACTTCTCTTAGTCTGTAGGTCGAAAGAGTGATTCCATTTGGTCATAGTGGGACACTAGAAACGTGTTAAGTGCCTGTATATTCCAGCTTCTAAGTCCATACCCAATGTGACCTGCCTGGTGTGAGGGAAGGTGTCTGACTGCATTTTGTTGAATGCCTGCACCTCCTGTTTGCATTCACTGTGCACTGACCAGCCAAGATTACTGTCTGGTTTTGCTTTCTGCTAGATCATCAACAAAAATAGTGAATGGAGTTTGGTACAGGGGCAACTTCCCCCCATGGTTATGAGTTTTCAGTAGCTGTGGGCATCTCCTAATTTTGGACTTCTTTGTCCGTTTAATGGATGTATTTTGATAGCGTATGGCATTGATTTCTTTAAAATACATCTATTATTTTTTTCAGCTGTTGCATAGTACTAAGTAGATGATGTTTGAGTGGTAAGTAAACTTCATTGTTCTCTCGCTGGCAGAAGCTGATACAAGGGTAAGGATTCAGTCAGGTGAGCTTTATGAGCCAGTGTTTTTCTCCATCCTCTTTCCTAACTTATTGATGTGGGCTTTACTTATGGAAGTTGTTTTTCTCGGCTCATGTTGAAGGACAGAACAGAACTTACTAATGGGACAGTATCCCCCAGGCTGAGGGCCCAAAGGAAGGCTTACACAAAGAATTCTGAAGGAGGGCCTTGACTATACCCTTGTCCTCAGAGTTTTCCTTGTGACATTGAGGCAGGCTCATGCTACATCCGTGCTGTGTATGGCACCTCTGGAGCTCTGCTTTCTCTGCCTGTGCAGCTGAGGGGGACTCCTGGCCTTCCAAAGCTTCATTCAAGACAGGGCCATGTGTGATGAGAACATACACAGGTGTTAATGAAGAGCGGGGGGTCGAACAGACTCAAAATAGTTTTCCTTGTCATATTTGACAGCTTTTGGCCTTGCTGCTGCAGCTGTAACTGATCATGGGCAAACTTCACTTCAGAGTGAGTGTATATTTCCTACCTGGCTGCCCAAACCAACTTTCCTAGGCCAAAACTCTTAGTAAGGAAGAGTAACTGTGATGTTTATGCAGGGTAATTATTCAAAGCAGTATGTGAATGATAGGAGATTGTTCACCAAGCTGGTATGCTCGTGTTTGTGTCCATGTTTTTCAGCCATGTTTCCATTTGGTAGAGTTCTCTTTCCTCTTGTATCTCTTTACTGCCTCTCAGCAGCCTAGCATTTGTGCCTGGCTTGCATTTTTTTGCCATGACACAAAAGCACTGATCAGCTGAATATGTGGTTCTGAAGCTGGAAAATAAACCAAACACAATCCTGCACATAGACTTCTGTGGCTGTGGTTATAAAACAAGAAAACGGTCAAAATGCCGCTTCAGAGAAAGCACTTTGCTCCTGCTGTTTGTAAGTGCTGTTTCAGACGCTGCTGCCAGAACACGTATGCTGCTGTTCCAGGTGAACAGTGCAGTATGGAGATGTGGGCTGCTGTGAAAGGCCCTAATTACAGAAGATGGGCTGGAGAGGGAGAAGGGTTTGGATAACCCTGAAGACTCAACAGCTGCTGCTAAAGGACAAGGTTTGTGCTTCTGTTGACTTGGAAGTATCTGTGCTGATTCTTTGCAAACCAGGTCCTACTTGCCCAAAAGACAGGCATACTTTTTTTGCATAAGGTCTTGATTTTGAAGCAGTTAAATTTAAAGAGATTTGTTCTCAAAGACTTCAACTGACTGAAATAGATTCCAACAGTCATGACATTTAACATTTTAGAGATGAGATTGTAGGCTGCCCTTTAACAGTGGCAACCATTTCTGATGCGGAGCTAAACAGCAGAAGATACAGAGGTTCAACATCTAGCATTGAGAAAAACCCCCAGTGTTAAGCTGGTGTTCCCACCATGATTCCTCTGGCAGTGGGGAGAGGTGGGAGGAGAAGGAGAATGGCAATAGTTGTCAAATGGCTGTTAATTGTCAAGTGCTGATCTATTTTAAAAACACAAAAATGGAAGCTGTGGGACAAGGAAGAGTTAACAGGAGGGCAATCCAGGTGTGACACATACCTGTCCTCCTGAGATTTTAATTCAGAGAGAAACTCAGCTTGCTTGACATGCCTTTTAAAGGTATTCCATACATCTCCCATATGGATTAATTCCTAAGGTGCTGAAAGTAGAATGCTTGCTTTGTGAAACCAGCAGTGATGGCATATTTCTGTCATTTAGCAATTGTCCATGTAAATGCTTTGCAATGCATAGTTGCTTTAGCACCCATACTTTTCATGAGGGCACTTGATACCCTAATCTATCTGAACATAGCTTGAAGTGTGTAGCAAAATATGGATGTAAAGAATGCAATAATGCTGTGTAAATACAGAAATGACTCATTTGAACAATCAGTGCCTGTTGAAGATACAATCACTGAGCATTAGTGATTCATTAGCAATTCTCGACCCATTGATTCCAAGGTGGCAATATCGAATTAGTGCAATGTTCTTGTTATCTAAATACATATTTAGATAACAAGAAGGTGGTTGTTGGGAAGGGTCATGCAAGTGTTCCTGCTAGATGGGAGGCATGACTGCTAAGTAAAATGTGGAGCAAAGAAAGTGAGAGATTAGTGCAAATGACACATTGTGCAGATGGTGAAAGGGATGAGTCACACTCGGATGTGCTAATAGCTGTTATTGATGAAGGAACTCTTTCTCAAACAGTTGTTAGTATGGTTTAAGTTTATCATTTGGGGGCTTGTGTGTTTATCCCCAG